GCGTTACTTGCCGGGAGAGGCACCCGGGCACCAGGGGACCGTGTCGCAAAAGTATAGGGATGGGCTGTTCAGATCGGAGGCTGAGCCTGACGAGGTCATGGCAGAGGATCAGACTGACACGATTGCTGAGCAGGAACACGACAATGTCTCCTTTGCACAGCATGAGGAAGGACATGACTCGGAGGACGATGATGGGAGTGTGGACGGTGCCGGAGACCATGACGACCACGAGGAGCATGATTATGGCTACTGCCCCGATGGTGACGAAGACGAAGAGAATGACTTGGAGTGGGAAGACGAAGACGAGGACGAGGACGGAGATCTTGGCCCAGAAGATGGGGAGGTTGACGATGATGATGAGTATGCACATACTGGCTTTGCACATCTATGACTGTTGGTACCTAACTCACTCAATACCACTATTCAATGGCTGATTAGCACTGGTATGAGCTTTGTACGGAGACTGTAAGTGTGACAGGCTCGGAAACAGCAGTGCTTAAGTGACTCGGGATCCTCTCGCACGTCTGGTACACCAGGTCAGTTCGTGCCATACCATCTCATGTGATGACATGGCTACGGCTGTCTATGATTGACTGGCCATGCATACTTCTACCTTACAGCTTAATTTTCGTCTGCCTGGCAGGCGAATATCTGGCTATGTCAGGCCCTCGCTAGCATTGCCTTATTGGGTAAGTCATGTATTACATCGCCTTGTCAGCTCTGGCCCGATATTGATTCGCCCTTTTCGCTGATGCTGGTGGCTTGACAAGCCAAAACTATTCTACCTGGCGACATCATTGCCAGCCGCAGTGTAAGGTGTTGTATACATGGGTTAACGCCTCGAGAATGCGCCAGACGCACCCAAAGACAAAGAGGAAGCAGGTTTCCAGAACAGGACTGCGCAATGGCTTGCCTTCATCGCGTGGGAGCACTTCACCTAGCGGTACGTTGAGTACAGGTAGCAACTGTTCGAGGGCCTTCATCTGTCCCAGCGCCGCGGCTCGACTACGTTGCACGTCCGATTTGCAGCGTTGCAAGCATCCTACGGCATCCCAGAAGTCGAGCTTGTCCTCTAGGACAACATGGTAGCAGCGGAGAGCAGGAATGGTGGCCTTCCAATAGATTGACTTGTCTTGCTGAATGATGGGTTTCATGCATGTTCTACTCGAACTCAACGTAAGGCTTACCTCTTTGATGACGATATTCAAGCGTTCTGTAATCAGAGACTCCATGAATATCGTTTCTCCAGTGGCGCCGTCAATGTATGTCAGGAGTATGGCAACTGAGATATCTTGAGTTGCAGTGCTCGATTAGCGTTCCAAAGGCGACTTACACATCACTGGCTCTGGCAGCTCAACAATGAGCATGGCGGTGCCTGGATCGTGCTCTTGAAACCGATCAGGACGGTTCGCAGACCGGCAAAGCTGTACCGTCGCAGAGAATATGATGTTACACTCCCTATGCAGATATATTTAAATGAGCAGATAATCAGAGGGCGAACCAGAATCTCACACCAAACGCCCATTCTGAGTTATAAGGAGTGGCGTACAGCGAGGAATACGGTGGCTCGGTGGCATGGTGAGGATGCGTGCGTGCGGTCTGAGCTCGGAGAGGGCCAGATTAAGTACCATTCCTCACAATGGATGCGCGGAATGCCACTGGTGTTGCATTATGCAGCTGTTGACGCGCGGGGCGTTCAACATCCAGAGACCGAGGTGCCTTGGGTTTGCATTATGACTGAGAGAACGACGGAGCGCACAACGAAAATAGTACTTACGCCGGCGGGTCGGCAGGCTCGTAACCAGTCGTTCAACTCAAACTCAGATGCGTCGTTCGTAGAATGGATTGGGGGAGAGAACACGGAGCATAAGACAGTCCTTTGCTCGCGGATCCATAGAGCAAGGCTCTCCCAAGTCGAAAATGCCGCCGGGCGCCTTCACACTTGTTTGTCGCTGTTGATGTTCTCACCTCAGAAGATGAGAAGGGGGGACGGGTGGGGGCATTAGGAGGAGGAGGAGGTATTAAATAGTAGAGTGTTGTCGTAATACGTGGTGGTATGCCAGTGGGTTGTGGTGTTGTAGTTAGTGAGCGCTGTCATCGCCAAGACGCCGACAGCGCCTGGCGAGTAGTATCATTCGGACATTCGTCAGGACAGTGTCGACATGAGGTAACAAATATATTTCTGGGACTCAAGGAATGCCTGACTGTCAGGCAATGAGATCGAGACGCGCATTGTCGATACGAGCAGTACTTTAAGACGACCCCATAGTGATTAGCGCGACGACCTTGAAGGGCAGCAGGGGCATGGCGGATCGCGAGGAGCCTTCCAATAAGTATCGAACGAAGAAGCGGACGGACGTTCTATCTTCTCGCCGCCCGTGTGTCCCCGCATAAATGCCAAAGGGCGCGCACCGGAACGCTTTCCCGCCACAACCGAGCATCTGCGCCGACCTAACAAAAAGAAACAGGGGAGTGTGAGTGAGCGAGCGCACATGTCAATAAATGTGCGAACCTCGGAGAATGTGCGCGCGCGAGTAAGTGTGAGTGGTAACACGAGCATCTGCACGCGCATAGGTGACCATGAGCAACCGAACGCATATATGGGCGAGCAAGTGACTGACTATACCAACGGTCCGTTTCCTTTCGCTGAATGACGAAGCGTACCTATGCGAGTTTGGCACTCGCGGAGCGTTAGCAGACGACACATTTGAACTCGTTAACGCAGTGCATAACTCATGCGCGTCCGTGTTTCGGAGTATTGCACCGGTGCCAGAGTCGTTCCGGAAATCAGTCGGACGCAATGCAAGGCGCTCGGCGCAGTGATGATGAGCCTCCCTTTCCCGATGATCGCTACGAGTGATATAACGAGATGTCAGATGCTACGAATGCCACTGTCAGCCTAGGACCATCGGTGTTGTGCGTGCCGACGCAGGTTTGGATGTCGATAAATACCGCAGAACCCGACAGACAGGGCCCTCTGTGTCCCTCAGGAGGATGGTCCAGCGGCCGTCGAGCACCGTGAGCTCCGTCTGGTCAATCTTCGAGAGCTGAAGGATCGTGCTCTCGAAGTAGATGAGGATGAAACCTACCACGAGGGTGACGATCTGCGTCGCCCTGAGGGGAGAGCACGATCGTGTCAACATCAAGAACGTGACTGCGCGCGAAAAAGGGAGACGCGAAAAGAGATATGCGTCAGTACGAGCGCGCAGCGGTCCGCCAGGAGGGCGACCGGATTGGACGCACATATCACGTAGTATGTTGGTGTTGGTGGGTCAGCATCTGTGAAGGGGCCGAAGGGTTCGCGAGGAAAGAATACGCTCATAGATGCGAAGAGACAACGCACCACAACAAGCCTCCTGTCGGACGCGGAGACACCCGTATCCAAGAGCGCCAGCGCCTTGTTAAGGTAAATTACTTCGGTGACTGTGCGCCGCGTCAGAGAAGAGCGGAACTACACGTCGACATGAATCAGTATTTGAACTGCGCGGTGACCGAGCCGCGACGCGAGTTTCATTGCACGCACCTTACACGCTGGTGACGATCGCCGCGACGGACTCAGCCGTGGACCACGACGGACTCTTCGTCCCATGTAGTCTCGGCATCAGGATGCATTGCATCGTAACATCGACATGAAGGGAGAACGCACCAAGGAGTTGAGACTCGGAATATGGTGACGAGGGATGCGACAATGAGCGTCGGGGTGTACGCGAGAAAGCCGGGCGCGAGGGACATCTTTTGCGATGCCTAACCTGGACTGTCCTCCTCTAGGGGGAGAGCATACCGTTGAGCGCTATGATGACGTAGCCCTCTGCCAGGCGCAGGCGGTGAGATCGCATGGTCCGACGATCAGCACAGAGAGCGAGCGGGGGCAGCACTCATGATACAGCCACCGACGCCCGTGTCGAGCTTCTGCACGACAGCGAGCTGATTGTTGGACGACGAAGTCGCGATGACAGTCGTACTGCTGGCGACGGCAATCTGGAGGCCGAAGAGGAAGATGGTGCCGGTGCCGATGCCGAGGACTGTGTCACCGCTCTTGAGCGGACTCGGAGCCCATGAGCACGTTGTACACGGTCACTGCGGTGCATCTGCGTGCGTCGTTAGAAGGGGCTCTTGTAGGAATGCACTGTGCACTTACGGGCACTTACAGGAGCGCCCTTGTGGCCTAGTGTCCAGGCTACCCGTGATTCTGTGCTCGGGGCTCGCCTCCAGGAATCGGATGGCGAATGCTCTGAAGATACGCGAGAGGCCCTGTGAGGAGCCTGATTTTGCCTCGAGTATTGCTGAGATGGCGGTGGTGTCGTCGGCATAGAAGTGGATATGTCGGATGGATCACACTTCGGTCTTCTTCAGGTACTATCACTGTACCAGAAGTGCAACTTTCGCGTTTTTTCCTCTCTGCAGGCCGACCCACTCACCGGAAGCTCTCGGAGTTTGCATTGACGGATTCCTGAGGTCTGAAGATATGCTGTATGATTTTACAGGCCTTGTACAGGGAGTATGAGGGGGATGCCGAGAGGGAGCAAGGATTGGAACAGTAATGCAACTCTTCTCCGAGGCTCGTCACAGCTCCTGTCACGCTGCCGAGTATTGCCGTGGGTTGCCGACTGTGGCTATTGTGGCTGCACGGCGATACAGCAATGCAACCAATGTGTTCATGCCACCTTGTGCTATCCCAAACACCCTGTTTAGTTTCCGGAGATGCCGTGGACGTATCTATATTACTTCTCATAGGACTGGCATCCCTTACAGTATCGAAAGCCATAATGTTGAGAAGCCATAAATATAATGAGTCGACTACTTCGACTCTTCTGGAGATACTAAACACCAATTTTTCCCCCGTTCACAAGTTCAAGTGTACTTCAGTGATTAACAGCTCTCCGCCTGTCAAGTTTAGGGTGGCATGGCTATCAATGCCTGCAATGCCTTGTCCAGCGGTCGAGCAACAGTAGTGCAACTGCTGCGATCGTAACCGTATATGGTAATTGATAAGGAGCGGAGTTGAGATTGCTGATCTTGGGTGGCTTTCCGTCACGCTCTGACCACCTCTCAGACGTCTTTCCTTCTCAGAAGTCGCAACAAGAGACGGAAGGCTTCGGAAAAATATGAGGAGCATACTAGATGGAAATTCAATGCACTTTTGAGACCCACAGGCGAAGCGCCCAAGAGATGCGGTCAGCCGAGATTGCACCAGTGCCATTTTGAGGCGCGGAAGGCATTCACCGATTTCTTCTCCTCGAATGTGCTACACATTCAATTCATCAAACTGTACACAAACATTGAGCACGAAGTAAAGAACATTGTACGAAAATCCCAGAATATTTGGCGGGACGGATGAAGCGGGAGTTGAGTAATTGCATTACTGTCGCGATTGCATTGCAGGGCCACTGATAGTACTCCTCGACTTCGCGGGTCGCCCACGATACGCCTGCTATCTCCGCGTCGTAGACCTCCGCCCATCTGCTCATG